GCGGTACGCGGGCCTCTCACTGCTGTGGCCTCTCCCGTTGCGGAGCACAGGCTCCGGACGCGCGCAGGCTCAGCGGCCATGGCTCACGGGCCCAGCCGCTCCGCGGCATGTGGGATCTTCCCGGGCCGGGGCACAAACCCGTGTCCCCTGCATCGGCAGGCGGACTCTCAACCACTGCGCCACCAGGGAAGCCCCACGTTCTTTTTTTAATAGTCTTTCCCATTATGGTTTATCCCAGGAGATCGGATATAGTTCCCTGAATAGTTCTTGAATTCATCTTCAGCAGTTTTAATGTATTAGGTATTTTCCAAACATTTCCAAATTTGAACAGCTAATTGTTTGCTGACCTCTTGTGTTAGCTGGTAGTACTACATGGCCTCAAAGCAAGCTTTAGAATCTAATTCAAACAAACACAGTGGGTACATAAAGACAAAGTGCTTAGCAAACAATGATCACACACCCAAAAGGCTGAAAAATATATTTGAAGATGAGGTTCGTTTCTGCTTTTTCTGACCTTTGTATATCAGATCTTGCAGATAATCGTGCCTACCTAAATCACAGAATTCACTTAGAATCTCCACAGGTAAGGAGCTAGAAGTGGGTAAGGACCACAGCAGCAGACGAATCAACAGCCCCATGAAGCTGGGTTACTTTGTCTGGTCTCCTACTTTTTATTTGTGAAATACACTGGCACACTCCAAAGTGAAAAAACCCTATCACTTTACCACTTTCTTTTCTTTTTTTTTTAAAGTGACAGACTTGCGGTCACCTCTTGGGCTGCAATTGTACCTTTTTCCCTAGCAGTCCACCCCATCCCCGAGAAGAGGTTTTCCTTCCGACTGGGCGAATGAGAATCACAGTGTTGAGTGTTACAGGAGACAGTGACTGAGCAACCCCTGCCCATCCTAGACGAGAAAGCGCAAGCTTGGGGCAGGATCTGAACAAGACCAAAAGATGACAAGGAGCGGAATCCAAGGCTTGTTTGGTAGGAGATTCTCTAATTGTTTTAGTGCGTGGATATTCTGACACCATTTTTATCTGTTCAGAAACTTTCTGTTGAGTGGGAAATAGGGGATTATTTATAGGTTGCTGACTGTGTTACTATAAATACTAGCAGGATTTTAAGCCCCATCAAAACAAAGCACTTACTCTTAGAAATGGTCTTTGCCAAAAGAGGCAAAGTCAACCCAAAGAAGTGTTTTGTGTATGTTCAAGTGTACTTAGAGATTTGTCAAGATATAACAGAAATCTATCTTTTTGCGATTAACAACTCAATTTTAAAAGCCTGAATAACCTTTCATGCGAGTATGTAAATTTTAGCATAAATCAGGGGGAATTTCTTACCTTTGGAGGCTTGAAGGGATATTCTGGTGTGAAAGTGATATCAAGGAAGAATACACCACCCTCATACACGGACCCCGGAGGCCCTAGGATGGTTGATCTCCATTCATAGATGTTATCGCCTTTGGGACCAGCGCTGTGAAATAATACACCAGAAGGTGAGTAGATGGCGGGGCACCCCCATGTTTACAGTGTGTCCCCCAAAGGGGGAAAGGTCGCCTCTCCTTCCTTTTTGTTTGGTGTGTGGATTCTCTCCACAAAACACAGGTATCTTTCAGACAGGCCTCTGATGCAGGCCTCCAACAAGCCTTAGGTCAAGTATATGGTAAAAAAGGACGCTGGAACCAGTCTATGCCCGCTTAACTGTGAAGAAGAAACCGCTCACTCCTCAAACCCTCTCCTCGATACATCATAAGAAAATGTAAACGTAAATGATACTTTACAAAAAGAGAAACGCCTCTCAGCACACCAGAACTCATTAAATTAGTGACAAAGTTTTGTTCACGGCTACATCATCTTTGAGGACCATTTTAAGCACCAGAGCTTCCTTTCTGACCCTCTGCCTGGGGCTCTTCCTCCTTTGTCCTTGTTTCTCCACAGTCTTACCCTAAAAGGAGTCCAACAGATTGCAGTTCTCTTTACAGCAGAAACCATGCTGGGTGGGGCAGGAGGGGGACAAAGTATCCGGTTACCAGTCATTCAGTTTTCACTCCTGCACACATTAGATTCCGCAATCAGGTTCTCTCTCTACATGTTAAGCTACCCTCACCTGTGAGATCAGCGCTCTTCAGGCGTAGTGCCACCGCAGCGCCCTCCGCCACAGCACTGTGTCGGCTCACAGAGTGCTCTGTAGTCAAGCACATTAATAAACAAAAATACAAACAAGACCTCCGAGGGCTAGCTAACACATCTGTCCACACAAGTAAGCGTAAAGCTCCGCTACCGAGAGAGAAGACGCAAGCCTGGGCGACGGTCTCGGTGCCGATGCAGACAGACCTGCCCGCAGCGCAGGGTAACGGGTAACAGCGTGGCCGGCTTCGCTGACACGGCTTCACTTGAGACGCTCAAGCCTAACTATTAACAGCCGCTTCGAGGACAGCAGTGTGTGTTGGCCAAAGAACAATAGGTCTTCGCTTGGAGAGGCTTGTAGATCCCAGTGGATACACAGCATAATTTCTACAGAGCAGGCAAGGCTCTTTTCAACAAACGTATGGTGTGAACTGGATCCACTCCCCACACACTCACGGACGGCCCACGCCCGACGCAGATGCTAGATGCCAAGGTTCCCTAACGCACAAGACAAGAACTGCTTGTCTTCAACATGCCCGCTGCTAACTGGTTAGAGATGGGGTTCAAGTCCTTCTAAGAGAAAGAGGAGATGAAGAGGAAGGGAGACGGGAAAAAAAAAAAAAAGGAAAAGAGAAAACCTACCTGTGGCCCTATACTTTCCTCAAACCTACCAGAGATTTTTTTTCTTTCAACCTGAAATTTGGAGTGGGAGAAACAACAGCAACATAGGTTAGGGGAATGAGCTTGTAAAAGAGAACCCGAAGAAAACAAGTTCGGGGGGTGGGAAACATGGTGTGTGGGTTAGGTGGGTTAGGGCCCAAACTGGTCAAGAGGTAGAGAGCGTTCAGACACTCACTGAGCACTTACGGGCTGTGTGACCTCGAGGAAGTTACTCAGCTTAGAGCACCCACCTCACAGGAATGTTCTGAGAACTAAAATACTGATAATATGGGGGGGGGGGGGCATGACTATCTGTGCAGAACAACAGGCCCACAGTAATCTCCCGTTAAATGGCAGCCGTCACCTCCGTTTCCACTTATCTGATTATTCCCACTGGCTCAAATACTGTGGTCCTTGAATATCTCCTTGTGATGGGTATTCCCAACAACTATTAAAAACCTGTTTTACACTGGACAGATATGGGAAGAGAGCTCATTTAATTAACACTGTCTCTAATATTAAGTCACACGTATATGCAGACACCAATCTTCGAGTTAAAAAAAAAAAAAGACGACTTCCCGACTTCCAATTCTGCATGACATCTGACCACAGTTCTCAGAAGGTGCAAGGCAGGGAGCGCTCTTAACTCACCCTCTCCCTCTAAAAACATGCAGTAACCCCTCCAAGTGAAAGGATGCAACTCTGATTGCTGCTGCTTCATAGCCTGAGATTAGAACTGGTCCTTGGCCATCTGAAGTTTGCTGACCTGCGTATATGTTTGCATCCAGCATATGTACTTGAACAGGAAGTCCACAAACCATGGCTGATGCAGCTATGATACCTGATTACCAGACTGGAGTTAACTGAAAAGTGGACTGAGCACTGACACAGAGGCTGCGGATAAAAAGACAAACTATTCTCTCTTTTCCAACTAGATAAGAACTCACGGCATCTAAGACTTAAAGGCAAGAGGCTATCATTTACTGTGAACCCCTCTAGAACCCAAGGCCAAGAGCAGAAGCTAGGCCACCCAGAACACTAGCACATCAGCAGCCATACTGTTTTCCTCAGTCAGCCTGGTGATGCTAAGAGACCCAGAAAAAAATAACAGTAAAGTCAGTCCAACCCTGGTGGGGACATGTTCACAGAGGCCCAATTCCACTGGCCCCTTAGTACAGAAAAAAAGATAAAAGAACAACAAAGGTCTAACAACAGATTTTATGACTGTACAGAAATTTCATCATCAAAATAATCTATGGAGCTTTAAAAATTACAGATTCCTGACCTTTAAGCTCAGGCCTCCTGAGCTTAAACCCGAGAATCTACATATTTAAAAAGCTCCTCTGGGAACCTCTGAGCAGGTGGTCTGCATTTGGGACCCCCCTGTACAGGTTACTGGGAGTAGGACAACCAGTTGAGAACGCGAGCTTTAACATTTCACGCTTGTCACCTGTGATACAGCTAGAAATCCAAATCAAGATCGCTACTTGTTCGTAATCAGCTTTCGGTTCGGCTGTGAACCTTCCTGAAAGTTCAGAAAGAAGTATGGAGAAAGAGTTCAAGAATCAAGTACACAACATAAGCTTCAAAGAAGTGGAGAATGAAGGTGGGTTACAGTAAGAAAAATAATGAGTGAAATAATATCAAATGTAGTTGAAATGCTAAAGCTTTGCAAAAGATTCAACAGCATAGATCCCTAACCTGTGGGTCCTCAACCAGGAGGCTTGGAAGTTACTGTGAGGGGTCTGAGAACCCACTGGAAAGACCAAGCAACGCTGCCTGAATAAAAACTTCAGCTATTCATTCTGAGGCTGTTATTAAATGAATTCACGTAGCTTTTTGTCTTATGCATTTTCTTAATCACAGAATAAAACAAAAATTATGATATGGAGCCTGCAAAACTTTTGCTTTTTTTTCTTCCTTCCAATTCTCACTGGAAACGTTAGGCTCTACTTGTCCAGAAGGTGGGTAGACAGACCCATGGCAGGGGGCGGGGGGCACGGGAGGGGGTGAGGGCAGAAGTCCCTGGCTCTCAGAAGGCCACTGTCAGGGAGAAGCTACGTGGGGCTGTTCCGGCGGGAGTGTGTCCAAGCACCCCACCCCTTCCTCCATAAAGTGACCGGCTGGACCCCTCAGGTCAGCATATGCGTCCCGCTGCCTTCCGTCCCCCTCCCTGTAACAGAAGATACTTCTGGTTTCACAATAAGAAACGTGACTCCAATTTTAAATACCGGCTGAAGTATTCTAATCAGTCTAAGTGATTAGAAGGGATGGAAACTTCTGAACTGGGAGATGGGGGTACTGAATTTAAGGCATTAAGGAAAGATGGGAACAACAACAAAAAATACACATCCCTGTTTGGAGACAGTGAAACCCAACTGTGATTGGAATCTCTGCAGGCAGCTGAGACTGAGAAGGGAAAAGGAGCCCATGCCTTTGCCTTCCTTCCAGATTCTGTTAAACAGGGACATAACGTTTATCTGCAACACAAACACTTTTCAAAAGAATTCCCTGGCGGTCCAGTGGTTAGGACTCCGCGCTTTCACTGCCGAGGGTCCGGGCTCAATCCCTGGTCGCGGAACAGCCAAGAAAAAAAAAAAAAAGTGTAACACACAGAACTCTTATACAAGGCAAAAAGAAAGAACTGTGCCCTTAATTCTGTTTTTTCCCTTCTGGTCAAAATAAATACAGCCGCAGTAAACATTTTAAGAAAAATGATAGTAACTTCTACTTTTGACACAGTATTTTCTTATTTCGGTAGTGGTTTCTGACGCCCTACGGACCCACCAACAGTGGGAGCGGGGGTCGTATGAAGCCCGCCGGCTGGCAGGCACTCACCGTGGTCCAGGCCTCCCGCCTTCGAGGGCCTCCCGGCAGTGAGTGCTGGGAAGGGCTGCTAAACGCTGCAGCTCTCCTGTCTCCCAGATACTCTCTGGGGAGCTACACGAAGCACAGAGCTGCTGACGGGTGTAACTAACGCTTAGCACATACGGTCCTAAATAGAATCTGAACAGCACAAAAAGTAATTAACAAGTCATTTAAGGTATCATCCAAAGAAGTTAATAAAACCAACTCTTACAAACTGTCATTAGAGCAGTCTAACTACTGGCATCTAAATGTGCCCTCTGGACCGACTTCTCCAAGAAAACTGCATAAGCCAACGTTTAAGCTTCGTTTTGTTTTGTCTTAAAATCATGCTTTTCTCGGTCCTCCGCCATTCCCACCCTCAGTATTAGTTTATTAAAGACTTAGCTTCCATTTCAACCGTTAGAAACCATAGCTGCACTTCAGTTTTCAAAAGGTATCACCGATTTCTTATAAAGAATATCCTGAAAGCAAGGCAAAAATTATAATCGATCTTAAGAAATGGTATTTCTACCTGATCAATTTTTTAATTGTTATTGGGAGAGATGACCCTTGCTTACAAACACAGAAAACCCTAACTCAGTTTTAGGCATAATCCTGAAAGACGACTTAGTTATCTAGTCTCACACCCCAGAAAAAAGTGAGGGATGAGAGGTCCGGAGACAGAAAGATAAGAAACATGCCGCAGGCGAGCGTCTGGATGGCAGCAGCAGGCAGGCTGGGAGCGTGTGTCGGCGCACCCCGAGAAAGGGGAGGGGCTCAGGATCAGCTGGTTAGCAGCTCGGTTCTTCCCACCTAAACATCCCAGGGAATCCCTGCTAT